AATTAGTGCGCAGAATTTCTCCATCACTACATAAACAACACTTAGGCCGTGATGCCAGATGGACAAAGATAGTGGTCCACGCTCCAGACCTGCTGGCAAACGGAGAAGGGGAGAGGTTGTGAGAGCATGCCAAGGGGTGGCTGATCAACTAACATGGGGGAAAAAATCACCTTGGTGGTAACAGGTTTACTAGAGAACGGCCGTGCAAATATGACACAGAACATGCTGGTGGAAGTCTGGGGAGCTGTTACTGAGTCATAGTGAGTATCAGTATCAGTTCAATCTGGGGAAAAATACCACAGTTAGAAACTGTAATGTGTGGCATGCATGACTGATTAGACACAAATAAAAACTAATAAAGCCCTTATCTTATCTTGCTTTATGACAATGTAATTTTAATTCTTGAGATGAATTTGTGAGATTATTGAAGACGTTAACAACAACATCTGGTGACATCATCCAAGATAAATTGTTTGGGAAGCAATAGGCATTTCCAATGTGAACAAACAAGCTGTGTTGGCTGTGGATATTGGGTGGGCTGAGTCGAGTGCGGGGGCGTTGATTTTACTCTGAAGGCACTTCAGGTTCCAAGATATTGCAAGCTTGATGTCGAGACTCAGTATAGAACAATTTGACAAGAAGGGAAAGATAAGTGGCTACAAATAGATCAAAATGTCATATTTCACATAGTTCTTGTGTCTGAATAAGCAGCACGTAATTTATGGTGTGTGTCTGTGTATGTTTGTCTGTGTGCTGGAAGAATTACTGTACGTCCCCAAATCAATGACAGGATACATATTTAGTATTTATGTGTCTGTTTGTGCACATGTGCTCACACTTGTAATGACACACATATAAAGACCTTAAACATATTTACATACACTCACGGTCAGGCACATTCATACGCAGATGCTTTCAGTCTCTGACAGCTCAGAGGACAGGTCTGAGCTTCACTAATGAAAAGCATATGTGGTCTAGGAGACTAAACCTCCTCCAAGCTCATCTTCTTTTGACTAAACATCCTCACCTCAATCTATCAGTCTCCTTTCTTCCAGCAAGCTTTCTAAGCATGTGTGTTGCAAGAATGAAAGTGTATATAATGTGTGTGTTTGTGAGTGGTGGTGTACGCGTTTGACATATACAGTATATACGATATGTTCACAAGAGTTATTGGTCCTTTCCGTTCTTCTTGCTTCACCCTGTCTCTTCTCTGTCCTCCCCATATCCATCTATCTTTCCATTTCTCTCCCTTTCCTCACTCTTCCTGTTGTGAAGCAGACAAGTACACTTTGTGCTTCTTCAAACAGTGACCCTGATATGAACCAGAGGGATTGAAGAACCAAAAGAATCAGGTGTGTTGGTGGGTCGTGCATCTTAAATTGCAGAAGAGGTGGACTTAATATTCAAAATGACCAAAGTTTGTACTGTAACAAAACATTGTTCTTGGTAACTGTAGAAACATTTCTAAAACAAGTCAAGTACAGGCCACAGTCTGTGAGCACTCAAAACCACCAAAGCTACAACTCTCTGTTCTACCACAGGTTGGTCTGTCATCACAAGTCATAGGATCAGATTTCATCATTCAAAACAAAACAACCCGCAGAGACATGTTGCTGCATTGACCGATGTCATCCATCATCTAAACTGATATATGTTTTGCAGTTTTTCCAAGCATGATTTTATCTTGTGCCTAATTGTTGGGACTATTATCACTATTACTATTACTTCACATTGTTATGTTTATTCAGTGGCAGAGAAGAGCCAAAATAAAGGTGAGATAGAGTAAGATAGATAAGAAGTGGGGACTATAAACACTCAGTTAAGAGTTTATTTGGTTTAATGATCTAATACTAGCTGTAGAGAGTGGACTGTATATACATATAAGTTTTTTTTTTGCATAATTAGACAGGACAGCTGAAAGATGCCAATATGGTTGACCCAAACCCATGGCCTTCAGCAAGGACTCAGCCTTGATACATGATACTTGATACCGGCTGAGCTACCAGGGCGCCCCCAACACAACTGTTTTATTATCTCTGAGTCTGACCACCATGTAGAAAAAGAGTAGGGTTGAAGTAATACTCTTCATGAAATGAGGCCACAGTTTGGACCATTTCTTCTTCTCCTCCATGGCTCCTCCTTGTTGCAAATTAAATGAGTTTGACGTGTTTGTTTTGCAGTGAGAGAAAAAACATCTCAGAAAAACATGCTGACGTTGACAATAGGAATTGATAAGCTCGGTGAAATACGATTCTGATAGATCGGATAGTTTGGAACCGGTTCTCAGGTCCCTATCAGGTAGTGGGCGGAGCTATTTCAGAGACCCAGGTCTGCTGAGCTAGTATTGGACGGACTGAGAGCCTGCACCCATTTGCCTACATGTCTTTGGCTGACAACTACTTCTTTCTGGACTAATCACAAACAACAAAACCAGTACAAAAACGTCTGGCCGCTCTTGGGGCCTCTGTTTGAGATGTTTTAGCTGCTGATGCCAACTCGGGGGAAGCCCCAAAAGACCCACTGCCAGCCAGCCTTCAAATTCTTTCCTTTAGTCATTGCTATTTTCTTTCACACACACCTCCCCCACAGTGTCCGTGCCTCAACACTAATAAAGAGCTGACTGCTGGTCATTCTCATCCATAATAGGGATGGTCATTTATTAGAAACACAATAGTGACTATAATATTTCCATCTACTATATGATATTCATAACGTAGGCAGAGAAATGCTTAATGAATTACTTCTCATACAAATGTTCCTTGCTCTAAGGTTGATGTTGTGTTGTGTGACATATTATTGTCATTTTTTGGACAATGAGAGAAAGGTGGGACAGCCAGCATGTTGTCTTTCTTTCTTTCATCTTCATTGTCAACTGATGAGCTAAGCATGGACACACACTGCAGATATCCCACCCAGGCGCATCCTTTCTCAACCTAAAACAGACTATTGTAATGCTACAATAAAACTAACAGTGAAAACAGTAACCTCTATGTTTCTCGTTAACTGCCTTCACACTGCCTGAAAGTGACAAGAGGCTAGCCTACGAAAGCCAAGTTTTGGCAATCACACCGTGAGGATTGAATCCACCTTCGCTTGAGGGAACACAGGAAAGGAGACGGTGTCCAACAGCTGTTCATAAAGAGAAAGTTCCTCTTTCCAGCTTTCGGTGTATTGTCAAAGCTGGATGCTGACAGGCTTCACAATTAGTGTAACATTTACAAGGTCTTGCATGAGCTACGCTGCAATTCACTGCAGTCACGCTACTCACATAGCCAGCTGCTGTTCTCCATTACTGGCCAGGCAAGGTGCGTATCTGTGGAATTCAATGTCACTGCTTGGCTTTCACATAAGAAAGAATGGCAGTTTTCTTGATATGTGTATGTGACTGAGTCTGCATCTAAGAGTAGTTTATTGTTGTTTGCATTAGTGTCTCTTTAGTAACAGAACCCTGCTTTATATATTAAAGGGTTAAAAAAAGGTTTTATAATTTTTTCTGGCATGTTTTCTGTGGCACGAGCCAAACAATGACTAACTGATGCAGATGCACTTGACCTGGCTTTGTGAGAGGCTTACCTGCTGGTGAACTTAAGATGTACATTTGTATAGTAATGGAAACTTCATATTTGTAAGGTATGTAGAAAGTTGTCATGTCCAAATCTGAATAGTTTCAGGCAATATTCGTCTGATGGAATGGAAACCAATAATATCAAAAGTCGCCGCCGATGGAAACATTCAGAGATTACTGAACACAATTACAACCATGAAGCGGAACATATTACAGCCCCTTAGTGAATTTAAGTCTCTCCTTTCATTTCAAAGATTTGTAAAACCTTAGCTGACCCCTAGCTATTCTCTCCCTGTGTTGACATTTTCTTTTTTTCCATACAGCAGAGCACCCTGGCCTAAATTGCTCTAATTTCAAAAACAAAAGGAGCTGCGTTTAACATTGTTTGCCTTCCGTTTTCTCACTAATGTAATTTCTGCCATGTACGCCTGATGAGAGAGAGGAAGAACTCATGCATATAAAAGCCAGAGCCATAGTTCCCAAGTAAGGCTCTGCTGATCCAAGCCAAAATCAACTTCCACCAAATACTTGATATTAGGTCATTTTCACAATATGGCTCTCCCGCAACTCTTGTCCGAGGGTGGGGTTGTGGCAGTCCGGAGGGACTCCTCTGTAACCTGCTCCATGTGTTATCAGGGCTATAAGACGATTGCTTGGTTCCTTATCTTTCTAAACACATAGAGGTAGGCTGAGATTGTATCAGCAATTCTTACAGAAACTAAACGATGGCTAAACATTGCTGAAGTACCAATGCAGCACAACCTGTAATACAGCAAAGGAAAATATTTACTGTACTGTATCGGAGAGAACGGCCGTGGTAAACTTCAACACGGAGGTTTCCAGATATTGTAAGGGTCTACCATTACAATAACATTAATCAGTGCTCTGGCACCATTGTTTGGCAGGCGTTGATGGCCGTTTGCACTCTGCCAATCATCACTCCCTAATACAGCAGAGGTGTAGGAGTGGTGGAATCTCTCTGTACTGGGTGGGACCAGTCAGCTGCCAAGCCAGTGTAAACCAACCCCGACAAAAACCCAGGGATGATAAGAAAAACTTGGTGACAACCAATCAAAAGACTGTTTCTCTTTAGCCATTGCCCTGCATCTGTGCAGGTCTCCCTATTCTACTGGTGTGTGAACGTAATGTGGTTTATACATTTAGCTGCTTTATCCAAACCATAACAGTACATTATATTTCCTTCCTTTCAAGGCACTGTAACAGTATATGTAATGCAGAGGAACTTTCCCTGGTGTAAATAAACAAAATCTGTTTGCCTCTATTACATTACTGCTTTACAGCTGAGAGAACACAGGCTTGTGACTACATCTTAAATATAGTTCATATAACTGTAAAACATTTTCAGAAGACAATTTGGATGAATATTATGTACCATTTTAACATATGTGAATACAATATAAAACCCGCAACTTACCTGGTTTAGGGGCCTTTCCACCTTGTCCTGTTGGGTGAAAACATGAAAAAAAAAAAAAAATTCAATAATAATTTACCGTGCAACCATTTAAATTTTGATTTTATGAAGTCAGGTTACAATTCAATGTCAATTCAAAAGACCTGTTCACGTACAGACAGCTACAATTACATGATTGATCTATTCAAGAGAAATGTTTTCAATTTATGAAAACTGTGTCTGCAATGTTGTTTTATCTTCATACCTCCCAGTCCTCCAGTGCCCAAGCCACCAGGCCCAACACCTGCTGGTACCAAACCACCGGGGCCTACACCACGCCCTCCACCTCCATAACCTCCGAATGTTCAAACAGACACAGATGCTGTAATACTGTCACATTTATCATTATCACCTGCTAACAGTGTTTATGTCATAATGATCATTATTTAGGGTTGCCATTGTTAAGACCACAATTGCCATTCTTACTGACCACTGAGCTTGTATGAGAGAAAACAGGCTTCATATTTCCAAACCTCAAACCTTATAATGTCTTCCAATAAACTGGCTTAACAGTGGTGGTTAACCCCAGAGCACATTGTTTACTGCCACAGTAATATCCCTAGGATTTAATTATTCTTAGATTGTGGTGGTGTGACAAGGAAGTCTCACCATGTGTTTCCCCCAGATCTGACCAAACTGTCAACAGGGAATTTGTCTTTACAACAGCAATCTGTTTCTTCTTGCTTTTGTCAACATAAAGGTTGGGCAGCACCCAGATACAAAGTACAAACATCCAACTATCAACTTTTAGCTCACAGTATTAGAATATCACAATTTTAAATGTCTCATCACATCAGTTCTTGGCTTTAACACTCTTAGCTAAAAAAGGTGCACAGGGTCAAACTTGTTCAGCAAATGGGAGCTGAAACCATGCCAGGACACTTCCTACGGTTGGTGGACTGTTGCTAAAGTGGACTGTGTATGCAGGGCTGAGTGTATCTGCTATGTGCGAAATGACAAACCCCAGATAGAATATCTGTGGCTGTGCATTTACGAGGCAATGGCCATTTGGACAAGACAATCAAGACCCTGAGAAAGCAACACTGCTTTCATGACAGTAAGATTTCTATATTGTAAAGTTTTAATTTAGTTAAAGCAAACATTTCACATCTGAACCTCTGCAGGTATTTTCAGATTTATTTTACAATATAATACAATATACTACATAGAAACAAACAGTAGTGCATGCAACAATTTATGATAAACCAGATGCGATTTAAAAACTGATTTTATATATGTGGAAAAATCATAAATCTAATGTCTCTCCTACTCACCTGCAGCTTTAGCTGGTTTATAGCCCGCAGGGACTCCTCCAGCAGACCCTTATAAAACAACAGTCATACAGAGTATTAAGTTATAGTGTTCCTATATGTAGTCATGTATGAATGGACAGTTTTTTGGCCCATCATCATTTTTACACCAGCTGACTTTCGTTTTACTTTCTCTTAGAGCATGTTGTGGCATCTCGTGTCATTTTAAACATGCAGACAGAGCATACATTACATACATACATTATGTAATATGTATGCATTTATACATATATTTGCATTTGTGCTTGTTAACTTAATAATTCTTATTTGTTGGTGGTTGTTAAGAAAATGTAATGTAGACAGGGAAAGTGCAGAATGAAACAAACTGAGACACATGAATTTTTTCGGTCTCTGTAAATAATATTATAAAAAGTAAAAGAGTACGGCCAAGACCTGCTCTATATAAAAAGTGTCCTGAGATAACTGTAATCATTTGGCGCTATAATAATAAAACTGAACAGGATAAATGTGATACAGTATCGCTTGAAGGAAAGACAAAGAACACTTTGAAGCACTGAATAAACATCAACTGTGAATGAGCTATTGTATATATTTGATGGCAAAACTCAATTACAGTTTTAAATATCTTTACTTTTAGTTTACATTCTGATATTTTTAGTCTTTTTAGTAAAAGCTCTGGTCTACAGTAGTATAATTTAACTGTTATACATCTGCTAAAGACAAACAGACTTTGTTTGTTGTGGCTGTTTACTGGAAATGTTTTGTTTAAACTGTCCGGACAGTCATTGGAGGCTCTGTTACCTGGAAAGAATCCAGTTCCTGGTCCACTGCCTCCTGGTCCAATCCCAGCACCAGCTGGTACATACACACCTGGAACACACAACAGAGAAACCAAACGGTCACCGTCTATCACCAACACGTGGGACACTGGTGAAAAGTGTGGCCAAACAGTTTTTTTATGTTTTTTTTATTTATTGCAATGCTTGTAACAGCATTTATAAACAATGACCCCATTTATTAGAAAAACATTCTCAAATACTTCCATCATGTGTGACCCAGACAGCAATCTGTCCTTTGCATACACATCTGCCCCAGTTCATAGCAGTGATGGGGCGCATGAAATGAAATGTGAACACAGCAGCTCCAGCCAGAGCCAGAGTGAAAGCAACAGAAAGAAAAACTTTATAGGCTTGATTAGGAGAAAATTACAATTGTTTTCACTCTGATGAGGTATTGCAGTTGGAGACTTTGTTTCAGAAAGAGACTACAGCACTGCGGACACCCCCCCAAACCCCCACCTACATCCCCTAGCCTCATTTCTCGTCTGATTTCTGGCTGCAACCCAGAGTAACTCCTGAGATGGTCGTTCTGGATCCCAGACATGGTGGCCTCATGTGTGCAAGGAACAGAAATACAAGAATGGGAGAATGAAAAAATCCTGCAGTTGTTCTGGGACGACTAACAGCTAAATCCAATGGGACCGGTGAGCTAAGGCCAAAATTACAAACTTATATTTTTTGAGGGGAAAACCTGGTTTATATCACTAAAAAACACAACACAATGGAGAGAATGGGGCTGCAGGACCACAATGATTATGTTTAATGGCTCTTACATGTGTTGGGAGGCCAATTAATTTAAACCACATGTCAAAGGCGTTCATGTGTTTATTAGCGAATACTGTGTGAACACTAGGCTTTGAGTTCTGTCCACTGAGTGCGGCCATTAGGGGAAGAACATTACAAGGTATTACTGTCCGATCTAGCTGAATGGAAATTCGTGACAAATTCCACTGAAAAATGCCAAAAAGTAAATATCTGTGCAGTTTATTAAGTATGCCTGCACATTGCTCCATTGCACTGGGGAGGGCTTTGATCTCTTCACTAACAAGCTGTGACATATTTAATGGGTTTGTGCCACAATAACATCAGTATTCTGTCTATTGTACTGCTGAGGTTAATAAAATGAGCAGTCGTCGCCAGTCAATGGAGGAAACCAGTGAAGTGCAACCACCCCCCTCCCCCCAGGATACTAGTAATGGAACGGTTCACATAAAAAAATCTGAACCGTTCGGTTCGCTAGTCACGGGTCGGGGCTTGTGTGTAATGTTCGGTTCATTTGAAATAGGCTATGAGGTCAAAAAGGCAAAAACTTCAAATAAGGTTATTGGGGGAAAAATTCCTTGTGCCAATCAGTCAGTGAAACGTTTCAGTTGGCATGGAGGAAGTCTGCAGCTGTTAGTTTTGGAAATGGCAAGTGGACAAGACGGAGTAGCCTACAGTTAGAGGATCCGCCAGCTTCGTTTCAGTCTGCTGAATGGGAGCGTAACGGATTTAATGTTACCTATGACAGTGATGGAAAAAAAGTGGTGGATAAACTGGCTACTGTGTGCAAGCACTGTGCAACACGTGTGGCTTATGTTAGCAGTAATATTTTTATGAAACATTTGCATCGACATCACCCCCCCATGCGTGTCCGTTGAAAGCGCAAAGAGGAGTGTCAGGTTGGAAAGAACAACTCCTTCTTCCCACAGCATTTAAACAGCCTCTCCATGCAGATTCAGACTGGGCACAAACCATAACTAAAGCAGTGGGGGACCTTACATCGAACAATACGCAACCCTATGCAGTCATGAAGGATTGGGATTTCATCATATGATAGATAAATGTGGTAAAGGGACATACAAAGGGTCATTCATTCATTCACACACTGATACACAGCATTGGAAGAAATTTGGGGATCAGTATTTTGCTCAAGAACACTTCGATATGCAGTAGGAGGAGCCGGGGATTGAACCACCAACCTTCTGGATTAGTGGCAGACCATCTCTACCTCCTCAGTCACAGCCAGACATTTTTACATAAAGATAACAGAGCAGCATTTTTTTATTTGAAATAATTAGAAAACATTTTCTTTTATTTAATATTTAATAATGAAGTGTGTCTAGTGTCCCTTATGTTATTAGCCAGAATTTTGTTAGAGCCAAACTGTGAATTTTATGAACTGTTCCAGTCCAACAGGATATTGAGATCAAATAAGCGTGGACTGACTGGCTTGTAAAGACAATGAGCAAAAGAGTGTGCTTTCCTTTTTTGGTACAAAGTTCTGAACATTTGTCTACACTGCAGAATCTAAATGCTAAATGAGTTATTAATGTTGAGAGGTCAAGAACAACGCTGTTATGTGTACGTAGCTTCTTCAATCTGCACTCAGTCCGATTAGAAAGGGGTAAAAACATTTTTCTGTTTTTGTTTAAGAGAAAAAAAAGATTTTTCATGCAGAAAGCAGCGTGCCAACAGGGGTTTGCAGAGTATGGTAATGTACAATGTAGGTCAATTTGTCATAATTATTTTTTTTCAGAGGCAGTGCAAAGGGGAACAGATATGGTGGCAGCTGTAGCTTTTACAAAAAAATGACTATGAATGAACATCTGGACAGATGAGAGGAAGGTTGCCTTTTAATTCATCTTGACTGGGAAGATCTGGGAGCTGGACGATCGCATCGGGTTTCTTGAGGTTTGGCCTCGTAATACTGAGGACTGACTGAAGAGAACTCGAAATGCTGTAGGCTCAAATAAAAATGAGGAATAAATAATAACGTCCAGGGTTCTGCCTTTAATTATCAAACGGCTAAGTCAACACAAGTAATGTATGTATGCCTCTGTCAGTTTGCCCATGCAACAGGCTCCACAGCAGAGAACTCAGGTGCAGGCACCACACGTCGAAGTCGAGTGATTGTTATCAATTCTGCTACTTCATTTCACAATCAAAAGGAGGATTTCCTGTCTCGGCACTGCAAGCGGAGCAAGTGGGAGTGTGTGTCTGCACCAGTTTTCCTTTTGCTCAGAATCCCATCATTGCTACTGTACAACTACTGAACCTGATGCACTACAGAGTGCATCAGGTTCACTGGGACCATGAATCCAAATATGGCACACACTGACCTCTGCCAAATGACCTAACCCACCTCAATAAATTTGAAGATTTCTTCATGATTTTCGTTATTATCGTCATCATCATCATACGTTTACTTTCCTTGTGAACTCAGCCAGGTCATGGGAATGTGCTGGAATGTGTGTGAAGGACAAGATTGACTGGTAGAGCACAAGGGATTAGACGAGGCAGAATTTATTTCACAGTTGACTCCAGTCAGAGTGTTTGTGATATGATTAATGTTGGTGAGTAAAAAAAAAAAAAATGTATTACCATGGTGTGACCTTTATTAGTGATCTGATCTTGCAGGAACAATGGCTATTCTAATGAAAGATAAGAAGGTAAGAATGTACAAACCTTGTAAATTAGAAGTTAGAAGCCATTACTTAAAAATATATTATTCGGCTTGAGGCAGATCATTCCACTCTAACATAACGAGCAATTTGAGAGAGTTTCACAACTTCTTATGATTGACAATGTGAAAAAGAAAAGACAGGGAGGCATGAATATATTACTGCCTGTGACAGGGATCAGCAAGTAAAACCGCTTTTTGCAATCAGTTAAATACAATGACGGCTGTGAACTGAACAGGAATGTTCTACTGTTTGAGCCCAGAGTGCATTTAGAGGGTGATTATGTACATGCAATCACATCCCGACAGTGATTTTCATTTATCATCACTCCACTTAACGAGTTGACCTGAATGTGGTCCAACTGCAAGACTCAGCTGACAGGGTGTCGGTAAGCTACAAATGGAGCCAGTCACCACCAAATAAGGAAATAGAGGAAAATAAGTCTACAGATATTTAAGGTACATGATCCGGGAGTGAGATACTGACACTTCCTGCAATGTTTTTAAGTCTAACACAGTGTGTATCTAGAAGTGTTGGAACTATTATATGAATTATAATGCCCATATGTGTCTCACATGGGTTTCTGATGGGCTGGAATTTGTCTCCCTTTCTGGCAACTCAAACGCATTATCATGTGCAATTTGGACAACCCTATCCCAAGTGTGATATTTGTCTCTTACCATGTGGGATAAACATGGGTAACCACAGGCTAGTGAACATTTTTAAATCATTAATTTTTTTCTGTTCTGTCAAACCAACCGGTAGGAGCAACTACTGCAGGGCCGAGGATGTGATAATTCACCACCTCACTTGAGCTGCTGTCCATTATGGCCCCCATCCTTGGCCCACCTTTTAGAGGCAGTGCAATTAAACACAGACTTTTAGAGGTAAGGGTGAGAGAGATACTCCACCAAACAACACGAGTCCTGAAATTCCAAGTATGCATGTCATGAATTTGTTCTTTTAACTACACAGAAGTGTTTTAGTGCGAGTTTTCCTAAAGACACTTTTCACATCAATTCCCAAATCTAACAAGGCAGCTGAGAGATTTCATAATCAGAATTTAGTTTCTAGAGGATTCAAATCTATATTCAGCACAAACTGTACAATGTGTGAAAAGCTGCAAGGCTTAGATAAAAATCATTTTCATACACAACATCTGTGTATGCGAGTCTCAGATTCCCTTGTTTTGAATTTTGATAAAATGACGTCGTCCACTAGACACAAGCTAGCAGGTGGAAACGTATCCAGCGCCTTGTATGTTTACTTTTACATCATGTCATGTTTTGAGTGTCTGCCTGGAAAGTAGGAAGTGACATGTTTATCAACTGTTTAGCTGGCAAGATAATTTATTTGATATTTTGGCTGAGCATCAAAGCTGGTGAAACAGCCTGGAGAAAAAAAAATCAATGATTCATAAATTTATCTACAAATTGCAGTCTATGTGGAAAATTTATACTGGCTTAATACACTTAACTTTATGGGGGATAAGGGTTATTGAGCTCACAAATAATGACCGAATAGAAGAGAGGTTAGGAAATTGTAAGTCAGAACTTGTTTTGTTATTGAATAAAACCAAAGCCAATGA